ATGGAACTGGAAGAATCCATCCTGAGTGAGGTAACCCAGTCACAGAAAGACAAGCATGGTATGTACTCATTCATATATGGATATTAGACATAGATCAAAGGATTACCAGCCTTCAATCCACATCACCAGAGAAACTAGGAAACAAGGAGGACCCTAAGAGAAAAACACATGGTCCCCCAAAGAAGGGTAAAGGGACAAGAACCCCTGAGCAAATTGGGAGCAGGGGGAGAGAGGAGAGAGGTAGGAAAAAAGAGAAGGGGAGAAGCGGAGGGGGAAGAAATCAAGAGGGATCACAAAGCCTGAGACAGGGGAAGAATAGAGGAGAGCAAGAAAAGAGATACCTTAATAGAGTGAGCCAGTATAGGTTTAAAGAGAAATCTGGCACTAGGGAAATGTTCAGAGATCCACAAGGATGATCCCAACTAAGAATCTAGGCAGTAGTGGAGAGGCTGCCTTTGATGCCCTTCCCCTATAATGAGATTGATGACTACCTTAATTGCCATCCTAGAGCCTTCATCCAGTAGCTGATTGATGCAGAAGCAAACACCCACAGCTAAGCACTGAGCCATACTCCCAGAATCCAGTTGCAGTAGGGAGGAGGGAAGAGCAAAGGAGCCAAAGACTGTGCTGGAGAAACCCACAGAAACATTTGACCTGATCTAGTGAGAGCACAAGGACCCCAGTCATAAAGCTGGAGAACCAGTATTGGACCAAACCAAGCCCTCTAAATGTGGGTGCCAGCTAGGAGGCCTGAGCAGTCTATGGGACCTCTAACAATGGAGCCAATGTTTATCCCTAGGACATAAATGGACTTTGGGAGCTCATTCCCTATCGACGGATGCTATTGCAGCCCAGATACACAGAAGAGGGTCTAGGCCCTCCCCCAAATGATGTGACAGACTTTGATGATCCCCCATGAAAGACTTCACTATCCTTGTGGAGTGGGTGGGAGTGGGTTGTGGAGGGCAAGGGAATGGGGGGATTGATATGTAAAATAAGATTGTTTCTAAAAAAATTTTAAAAAATGAAAATTGCAAAAGGAAGGAAGGAAGGAAGGAAGGAAGGAAGGAAGGAAGGAAGGAAGGAAGGAAACCACAAAGGGATTGAGTACAGGAAGTACATTTCCTCTGCCTTAGAAAATTTAAGGAACCTGACATGAGACCTCAAGCAATCACCCTCTCTATGGTACAGCTCCTTCCTCCCAAGAAAGGGACGGGATGAACCATTAGTTCCAGCAGAAGCCGAGACTGGACACTGCCTTCCAGGGGACTGAAATATGCCATCTTGCTGGCATATGTGTTTCCATGTGATACACCAATGAATAAGGCATTCTACAGCTTGAGAAATCACAGAGCAGATACCCACGTGACAGGAAGGGTTCCTTCCCCCTCTGAGGGCCTGTAGTTCTGCAGAGAATGTGAAGTGGAGTCAGGAGCACACTGGGCAGGGATGGGAATCATTCTAAGACCCATCATCTTTCTCAGGGTGGGGGCCGGCTACTGTAGAAGGATAACCTGGAAGATACAAATGGGAAGACCACCAAGGGACCACTAGATGTGCATCTCTGGACATTCTGGAGAGTTACACTGTTGATATAGACTAGGCATCTTTAAATGTATTTTTGGTACTTTTTATGGCCTAAAAGACTAAAAAAATAATTCTGTGAATCTGGGTGGGGATTAGCCACAGTGACCCAGCTAAAGGCCAAGTGGGTAATCTGCCTTATGTCAAGGGTCACATTGACATCACTGAAGGTCAAGCTGAACACTAGAAGCCAAGTCTATTGTTTGCCTGGGAGCCTTGGAAGAGGCAGAGTGATTGAGAAGACTGCAGGCAAAGCCTGGGTTCCAGGAAGGAGGCTCAGGCTACAGACAGGGAGCAGCTGGGTTTAGCATCTAATATCTGGAGCCATATTCAGCTTGGGCAGACTCCAGGATATGTCCCTTCTCATCGTAACAGCTGGGGTCATGATCAAGCTCCATGGAGTCAGAGAAGCTTAGTTAGCAATCTTTCTGACTGTGCTGAAGGCAAAATGAGGACAATTCAAGAAACCTCTTCCACAGCAGGTAGTAAGTGTACAGTACTTATCACTCAAAGAAGGAAGGAAAAGCTGAAAGTATAAACAATTCCCAAGACTTTCAAATGTTTGTCAGATAATGATAAATACAAGCGGGTAGCTAAGAGGTAAAATGATTTGGGGTCTGTGTCTAATTTTGAATGTCAAAATCAGGGAGGAAAATCTTGGTCTTCCAGGTTGATTCTAGAGGTCCAGGTGAGTTCCTGGGGATAAACAGATTTCAGTCCCCAACCAGTGGTGTATTCTGGGGGTCTCGTGTACTTACTAGTCATTAACCCCCTTGTATCCTTGCTCTAAATCTGCCTGAGACATGAAGTAAGGATGGTGTTGCACTTACTGTGAATGATGGAAAAGTCCAGAAACTTTGGAGCAAGCTAATCATGCCCATTGGGGTTTGGGTACACTGGAGGCTTCTGCTATTTTCAGGACTTTACGGTCTGCATAGACTTCAAACATCAGTAGGAGGCATGTGTGGTAAGGTGTTCAGTGCTCTCTGGCTCCTTTCTCCACAATGGAAACAGCTATCCAAACATGGACTCTGTCGTTACTGCCAGGAGACGGTGGGCTGTGAGCAGTAGTGTCCTTCTATTTTGTGAAGTCCTGTAGCTAACTGCCTCTGCATACAGGGAGTGCCAAGGAACCAAAGCCTTTCATCTTATAAAAAGATCTAAGCCCAGCTCTTCTAGGACCCACTTGAGTGACACACTCTTTTCCGATTTGCAATACCAAGTAGTGCTGCTGAGGGCTGCAGAAATGTGCTTATATTAAAAAACAAATGGATATTTTGGATACAGAGAACCTGAAGTAATGCTCACATGCTTCTGCTAGCAACAAGCCTTCTTCATGTGAGTTGTATAGGCTTACACATCAGAGCCATTTCCTTTGGCCCAAGAGTACAAGGACACCGAACGGTGGCCACATGGGAACAAGGACAAATATTCACTCAGCATTGAGCTCCCCTTATCCCATATCACAGATTTATTTCTTTAAGAGAAGTCCCTAGTTCCTCGTTGGGGAATTTCTATGGTCTCACTTTTGCTTATGACTTAATTAGACTGAAAGTGAGACTTGCAGTAGGCAAAGGGTCTAAGATGAGCCAGAAACCACTGAGACCCTCTGCAAGAAAGCCTGGAGCCAACTCAGTATGCTTCAAGATCCTGAGCTCAGCATGTCCTCGCTGCAGAGAGTAGCCTACCTCCCTAGCAGCTAACAAACATTTCATCCCCTATTAAACGGCTCTAGATAAAAGATGCTGCCCTGGGCTCTAGGTCCCCCTCCCACATGCTCAGTTAACATGTGATTAAACCCTGCAGCCTAGCAGGCAGTCTTGGGGGTGGAAAAGGGTTGTTAGCTAACAGTTCAGAGCAATAAAGACACTTGGCTCAGCTACTCAGTGCCCTGGAGATATAATTATCTCATGCACGATGGCTTTGCCACCTGTCACATCTGCTTTTTTAAAAATAAAATAATAATAACGAGAAGGGTTGATGTTTTCGTGCTACATGACATAGCTTGCTTTTTGCCTGACAACATGGCTTTAAACAATCACCTTCCAACGTTTCTACAAGCGTCTCTGATAACTGTCATTTCTCATTTGGATTCTATTGTTTGTGTCCATGTTTCAATATAAACTATTTCATTTGAGAATTTCATAAATGAGTACTGTATTTACATCATCCCCACCCCTTCTCCCCTTTCAACACCTTCCATATGCCCCCTCTTCTTCTCAATTTCATGACCTCTTTCTCTTTAAATATCCCTGGTATATAACTATAAATATATAATCCACTGAGTCCATTTAGCATTGCTCATATATAATGTGTTTAGAGCTGACCACTGGGAATTGGATAACCTTTCAGGGACCTCATCCCTGGAAAGATGGATTCACCCTCTCTTGGTAGTGTTGATTGCCTGTAATTCTTCATCTAAGGGTGGGACCCTGGTGCTGTCATTTTGCAGGTCTTGCTTGTGGCCGTTTGAGCAGTCTCACTCAACCTGCTATTTTGCCTGTATTCACTGTTCCCTTAGCATCAAAGCTAGGCTGACATGTACCTTCAAATGTTTGGCGTTTTTTTCCAAAATGTTTTGTCTCAATTGCTTGCATCCTCCCCCCCCCCTTACCTTTCTCTTCCCTCTTTCCCCCCTTTCTCGTTTCCTCCGTCCCTTTCTTGTACTTCTCATTAACAAGCCTCTCTCCTGACCTCTCTCCACCCACTAACTCCATGTAACTTTCCTGGACTCTGTCCTGGATGAACTTGACAGTCTCAAGGCCTCCCTGGGGGTGCTACCTTTCAGGACCCTTCCTATGCAACGATCCTGTGCAGCTGTCATCGGGACACCCTACCTGTTGTGGTAGATCTCCAGGGCCGCACCTGACTTCAGCACACACAATGTCCTTTAGAGCCCGAGGCTATGTGTTCATATCTAGTGAGCAGCTCTGAGCTAGGGAAGTGATGGCCCTTCCCATTTCCAGCTGAATCAAGTGGCTTCCTAACCCAGCTCTGGCAGAGATTGTGGCAGACCACAGTGAGCTCAGCGCTGAGAGTTCCCTGTTGCTCGGGTCCTTCTGTTGCAGGAGAGGTTTCTATTCGACATGGCTTTTTCCTCAAGGAGTGTTGTGCTTAGCCCTTCATGGAGTTCGTGGGCAGATACTTATCCTTCAAGACTATGTGCACCCCTTTCCTGTAAGGATCACCCACGCTTAGAAGATACTAGACTTGTAGATGTCAGCTGGGCCAGCCACATTCAAATACACAAAGTGTTCTTTCTCTGTGGCATTATAACGTACCCCCACAAATCCTTCCAATGTCCACATATAGTCCTGGAGAACACCAAATTCCTGGGGTTGGGGGTGGTTAAACACTCTTTATGTTGAAGAAAGTGAGTGCATTGTCCTTGATAATGTTTCCTTTTACTCTTTCAGCCACCGGATCTCCAAATCCAAGTTCAGGTGAGTGAGATGCAAATTGCTCCCCTTCCCTTCTGCCTCTCTAGCTTGATCCCCAGCTACTGTGTCAAATGACCAAGGTAATTCCTATCAGCTAGGATCCTTCTGGGGCTCTAACTGTTTCCTTTTGTATGGGGGTTCACAGTTTGATTAAGGGAATTAGCTCAAGGGTTGAGACTTGGGTTCTCTTGGGTAGTTCCTGCATGGTTAGAAACAAACATATCTACTTCCTGTGTAAGATAAAGTCAGTTCAAATAAATGTGTGAACATTTGTTACTACTTGGTATGCTTCACAACTTTGAGGGTTACAGACAGAATGTCAATTCTGCCACTGCTTTGAGAAGGTGACAGAAGCTCCTAGAATATCCACCCTGTGACTTGTCTCTGGCTTTTCCTTCTACACGTCTGCACAAATACTTTCTTCCCACTACATGAAACTCCTTACAGATCCCCAAATGTTCTCTATTTTCTTGCGCACTAAGACTTTTTGTGGGGCTTTTGCTCCACCGAAATCACCATCTATGTCTCTATCTAGAAATGTCAGACTTGGCAATCAACTCAAAGGTTAGAGCATCTGTGGCAACGTTGGCACAACACACTCCCAATGAGATTAAAATGGTCTTCCCGTCATCCTCCATTCCTACGTGCTTGTCCTAGTACTTACCATAGTATAGTCTACCTATTGCAATACTCAAAGCCTGTTGCCTCCATTGAATTTTGTCTGCACACTGGAGTCTGCTCAGTGCCTAACTAGCTACCCCACGGGTTGACTCTTCAAGCTCCCTGAGTGCTTGACTGGTTATATATGGAAGATGGGAATGTAAACTTAATTCCAAAAACCTTAGACACCAAAACTATTGGCCATTTATTTTTCATAGCATAGTCATGCCTTCCAAACCTCATCATATATGTAGCAGGAGTATAAGTCATACTAAGCCAGGTGTTTACAACAGGATGTTTTAAGCAGTTCCTGGAGGCCACACGTGCAGTCGCTTGAGTTCGTCTTCCCCAGCTCCTGTCTAAGGTGGATTTGGATACAATGGGAGAAGAATGTCACGATCCCCGAATCAGCTTAAAGAATGAGGTCCCGAAGTTCTCCAGATTCTCTTGGCTCCTGCCAGCTCTGACACATGGGTCTGTGCGGTTTGGACATCCACCACCACAGGCCGTGTCATGTCCCCTGAGCTGCATTCCTCCAGCCTTGAAATCTGTTCTCTGACTCCCAAGCTCTGTGATCCCCTCACTCCATACTTCCACATCTCTCGTCATCCATCACTGAGCTCTGGAACTAGGAGCCCCAGCGCACATCCTCTACCTACCTGCATCCAACTCAGTCTGAGAACCAGCCGCACAGAGTGATAGGCTAATTATTGGTGTTCCTGGAAGGGCCTGCAGAGCCTATCTACAAGCCCCAACTCCCTCAGCCCCTCTCTATTGACATCCAAGTGTTTATAAGAAAGTCCCTCTAATCTCATGGCATTCAACACCCAAGCATTAAGATTAAGTGAGGACTCTGTTATTTGACACTGCTCCAGTTCTGGTGCCCTCTTTCTCCCGTGTTCTACTGGGACTGGAAAATGCAGACTCCCTTCCCCCTTATTGTTCTTTCAAACCAAGGCATCCTTAGTATGAAAAATAGAGGATCAGACCTACCAGTGCTGGCTTTTATTACATGAAAGAAAGCATTAAAAACAAAAGAATGCCCTCTAGATATTTTCTTTAGCTTCTGCATGTGAAGAACTAGCTGGTGTGTGATAAGAGTTTAGTAATAATGGATGGATGGATGGATGGATGGATGGATGGATGGATGGATGGATGGATGGATCACCTGGTCTTGATAAGACAATGTCATATTTGACAAGTACATGTTACTCTGAACAGTTCCACAGCCCCCCACAGTAAAGAGATTAAATTTTACATTGAAAATATTTCCCAAATTTTATTCTTGCTACATGCAAATGAGGAAATCATAGATGAATGAATGGATAAGCATAATCTGGAGACTTGTGGAGATGATCCCATACTTGGCGGACCCTAGTGAGTTATCAGGAGACCTTCCTTTTGAATTGGGTAATCCATCATGTCAAGTAAGTTCTTGAAGAATTACAATCTTTTTATCCTTGGGACTTTGTCCACTCTGCATCTCCCAGCCACAGGGCTCTAATTGCTTACTTTGGGGAGGGGATGCTTCTCTATCTGTACTTCCAGTTTAAGGGAAGCACAGAAAAAACCATGTATTCATAAATGGCTTCTTGTCGGTGGATTGGCACCATTATTAAAAACACCTGTAGATGATCCCTGAGGCTTAAGGAAGCCCAGAGTCACAGAGGGGGACTAGCCTCGGCCATCCTATTGGTCAAGTCCTGGCTGGTATAATGAACCTGTTTCGCACATGCTTTGGAGATTATTGTAGTGTCCATGGCAAGGAAGTGCAGAAGAGCAGCAGGAAATGAAACCTTTTTATTTAAAGCAGGGTAATGAAAACTTTGTCATTTCAACAGGAATTAATGTAACACATTTTAGTGAAGTAGTTTGTGTTCTTTGTTGCATCAAGAGTTTTTGCAACTTAGCATGTCCCTTACATTTACTATGTATCGTAGTTTAGATTGGCCACATGTTGCTAGTGGCTGCCACCCAGACAAGGGGACCCTGGTTCTAAGCAATATCACAAGCAGCTGACTAACCTAGATCCTTCAGCCCACTGGTGGTGTCTGGTTGGGGAATAGCTAAGGCTGGTAATGGATTGAAAATGCTCACAGAATTATCAACATTTTCCAAATAGTTCTCTCAGTTGGGGAAACAATTTAATAATGACAGCAATAGAATTTGAGCTTCAAATTGGCCTATTTTCGGTGCAGGACTGGATGATACAAAGTCATAGTTAATTTTGAAAGAATAGTGGAATAGAGCATGCAGGAAAAAAATGAGACAAATTAGATAATACTTGGGTACTTTGATAATTCAGGTTTTCATGTAAAGGAAAATGAAGAATTGGCTATATTTGAGACCTACTAAGCATCATTGGTCCAGGGACCGGTTGGAGTTTTTCCTAACACAACTATGCAGAATTCAGAGCAAATATTATGGGGTTCCAAAATGTGAGGACTGTCTGGCTTAGTCTTCAGAAGAACTGCCTGGCACATCACTGCATTTCTGCTATGCCATAAACAACTAGTCATAAACACAAGTCTGCCCCAGTCTCTACAGCCCATTTTTAGACTACTTATTCATAAAAGAGTTAAATTTAGCGATTTTCTCTTCTGTTTGTTCCAGGTTCCGTTTAAGATGGAAACTTACTACAGCCACTAGACAGCCTTCTATGTCCACTGTTTCCATGTCTCAGGCTTGTCAGCCTTTGCATGTCGAGAAAAGCAGTTTAGGCGTGTTGCCCTTTCCCCTTCCCAAGGCTGAAGGTTTTTAAGCCTTGCCTTTTTCAGGGAGTTAGACCCGGAGTATGTCTCTGGATCATGTCTCACACAGCCTATGAGCCAGCATCTTACTGTGTGAGAAGGAGTGTGCTTAATTCTACAGATCTATAACAAAAGAGAAGACATGGCCCCTGCCTCTTGTGGATCTGATTATCTCAGTAAAGAGTCGGGAGCCATACATTGAAAGTTAACTGCTAATACCAGGCAATGGAAGTCCTCTGCTGGGGGAAAGCTCTCTGGAGGCCTCCATGACGGCCTAAGATGGAATCTAGGGACACTATTACAGAGTCCCCCAGCACGTGACATGTTCACCTATTGCTGTGCCTTAGCTGGGCTTTGTGCTGAGAAGGACTGTGTCTATTAACTGTTGATATCTTATCTTGCCCATAGTAGGCCTTAAATAAGTGTTTCTTGACTGCACCAACAATTGTGTAGTAACATAGGTAGGCTCTTCAGGGATGCCAGGGCTAGAAGAGTAGAAAGTCTACTGCAGAGAAGCTGGGGTTTGAATTGGGCCCTAGGGATAAGCAGGACCTAGAAGATAGGACTAGAAGATGGAAGCCTTCATAGTTGGCTTCTGTGTTGGAAAAAAAAAAAAAAAAAAAAAAAAAAAAAAAAAAAGGTACAAAGCTCTGTGCAGGGGGAAGGGGTGATGATAACATGAGCCAAGACAGAGGGAGCAGAGCACAGTGCTACAGATAATTAAGTACAGTAGACACGTTCACTTCTATCCTTCTCTCCTGTTTCTGTATTTCTAGTAAATGGCTTCCAGCTAATGCAAAGAGAACATGAATAGCAGGCAAATTGCTCCTCCCTGTTTTATCATTTAATTTCTATATCCTCTGTGCATATGTAAACACACAAATAAATTTACACATTCTAATAAACTATTACATTTATTATATAGTAGGAAGTGTTGCTGGGAAACCAGCTGTCAAGCAAAACTGTTTGAAAAGTAGGAGATGTACAATTATCTTTAAATACTTTCCCTGGATAGTAATTACTCCCATCCCCACCACAACCCAAATTCCATGTGACTTTCCAGAGTGGCTCTGTGCAGTAGCAACCACATTTAACAGAGCTGGCAGAAAGCTATTGTAGACCCATGTGATGGGCCTGACTTTACAACAACCCATGTTCACCCACTTGTAAACATGACAGAAATGGCCATGGTCAAATTCTCAGTATTAAATGGACTCCAAGTCAGTTTCTACCTACTGTGAGTAAAAGCAACCTTGATTGTTTTGTAGTCTGCATGACAATTATCAGTGGTTTCTACAGTATGGGATTGGGTCTATTTTAAATCATTATCTTTGCAATTAATATGTTTTTGAAATCCTATAGTATTAATAATCATAGGAAGAAGTAGAGATGTGTTCTGATAACGTTGAACTATGCAGTATCCAGTTCTGGCAAATGCAAAAGGCCATCTCTCATTATAAATACCTGGGACTCATTGTCCCAGCCACTTGTCCCTCTCCACATATCCTCACACTTGCATATAGCATGACTCGATGTTTCAAACACCCTGAAGGGCACTTGCAGACTAATGTCTGAATTGCATGGTGTCTCTTCTGTGCATAGTAAATTTCCAAAGCACCAGCTAAGCTGAGTGTCCCTGCAAATCTGGGGCATTCAGTGAAGGATGGGTCAGGTCAGAACACTGAGATTAATCTATCTGTTATTCACCTCGCAGGCCCAAACCCAAGTTCCCCTTGGTAGTTTTAAGGGAAGAGTGCAAATGCTTAGATTGCCCCTGGCTCTTCCATTCTTACCAGAGAATTCAGTTAAGCCTTGGTAATGGGAACAATTGGGAGAGAAATGACAGTGTTAGAGACATAGACGAAGCCAAACTATCCCAAAAAGCAATATGGGTAAGTGAAGAGAAGCATTCAATATCCCAAAAGACAATGTGGATAAGTGGAAGGAACCATTCAATATCCCAAAAGGAAATGTGAGCAAGTGGAAGAAACTATTCATATAGAGGTCTGTCTCTGGGATCATAAAATACAGTCTATCCTTGGCATGGAGCTTGTGATGTTGAAAAGGTTTCCCTTAAGGACTAGAAAGCTGAGTTTGGGGACAGAGGATGTAACATATACAGCCATTTCAGTGCCCCACTTCTGGCATGCTTGCATATGGTGCTATGTGACACTGAGGACCATTCATGATTCTTCAACTGATGCAACACCAGTAACTCTACAGAGAAATGACTACATTTTTCTGTGATTGTCTCTGCCTAGAAGACTGGACTAATGACATAGACTTGTTCAGAATGTTGCACCACAGGTCAATTTCATTGCTCTAAATTAGGAGGCTAGTTTTTGTATCTTGGCCCAGGAACACACACACACACACACACACACACACACACACACACACACACACACACACACACATCCACACTAAGGATTTTATTCAATATATCTTACTACTATTTTGAGTCATGCTATGATATTTTCATGCTGTTCTTTTCTCAGTGCCAATCATGGCCTATCAAATAGATGTTCCATCCACTCATGGGCTGCAGAATGAGGTTTGCAAGTCTCTGTTGCAAACAGGTTTTACATTCTTGCTTAGAAACCTAGACTAGAAAGGGACAAACAGAAATGATCGCATGTAAAGTGCAGATACCTGTGATTGTTGTACCAGGGCATTGTCTCACCTCCTCCTGCCTTCTTTACCACCCCAGCAGGCAGCAGGGACTTTGCCTGCCTAGTGATCTTTCTGCGTGCATGCTCAGCCACCACTCTGAACCACATTCCAAGCTAAATGCATTGCCCTTCTCCCAGCTGCTCTCCCTTCCCAGAACACCCCTCTCTGGCTTTTGGTTGGTTGTGGGTGTCACACCCCCAGACCACCAGGCAGGCATTTTGGTGCCCCTCTTAGTGCCTTTCTCTCCTCTTGAATTCTAGTCCCCCATTGACTTTGCACCCAATCTGCTGTGTCCTCAGTGTCCTTTGTGCCGTTAATAAAGTTTTTCTTACATCATTGCTAATCCAGACAGCTAGGGCTGTCTTCCCGGTTCTACTTAGATCTAGAAGCTCACCACATGTCTGTGTCTGTTGTCTGCTTTTCTGAACTAAAATCTGATTGTGTGGGTCTTCCTATGGTGTGCCTTGGCCTGGCTGTCTATTGTCTGTCTGATTCTCCACACTTCTCCATTCCATTGCAGGCAGCTGTTAAATACTTCCTCTCCTGAATCCCCAACAGAGCTGTGTGTTGTGTATGTTGTGATAGCGGGGGTGGGGTGAGGGAGGGGAGCAGTGAAACCCTCTATCATAGAGTCATAAAATGGGAATGTTTCTTTGGGATCATCCAGCTTAATGGTTCTCAGCCATAATTAACATTGGAGCCAGCTGGAGGAAGTTCAAAAGTACCAGTGCTATCTTTGGGGTATTTGAATGTACCCAGCACCCAGTTAATCAGTTTTCAATCAGATTGATTTGGCACTGAGGTGAGGTGCCAGGGGAATAGTGGCTAGGTGGTTGTGAAAGCTTTCTCAAGTCACTCTAAACATAGCTACACTTGAAAACCACCAGCAGAGCCCTTGACCAAGAGCGCTGGGGAATGCTATATGACTGTAGCTGAGCTTTAGGGGTTCTCTGTGTGCATGTAGGGGTGTACCCACTTTTCTAAACAAAATCTAAAGGTTCATTGAGTTCTCAAGAGATCATAGGACCCCATGAGTGTAAAGAACCTCTGCTGTAAAGCAGCCTCTTCTTCTGCATGGGGAGGTGATACGGGTCCAGTGGAAGGGGCAGGCCTGGGGAGAGCATCATCCTGCCTCTACCACTGAACCCCAATGGTCCTTAGTTTCCTCCTCGATATCAGGCTAACACATGCTTGACTTAAAGACTTGGAGAAACCCTAAGACATTCCTAAAATACCAAGCCCACAGAAGGCTTTATTCATAGCAACCATTTACTAGTCCTGTCACTGCCACCAGCATAACGACTAATTTCCCTCTATACTTGCCACACTATTTCTGCCATTAAATGCCATTTAAATAAATTTAAAACAGTTGGAAACTCCTTTCTCTTTCAGCACTGGCAATTGAAACCAAGGCATATTCGTGCTTGGCTTTACCACTGAGGTATATCCCCAGCTGAGAAAATAAAAACAGCCCCAGTTGTTGGGCAACTTCAGCTTCATACCAGAATGGCTTACACGGCATTTTAGGCATGTCTACAAGAATCCTGTGAAATTATCCCTGTTCTCATTTCTAACCGAAGCTTTAGCGATGGAGGATAGATAGACCCTCAAGACCACGTGGATAGCTAAACAGTAGAGCCTAGTTAGCTTGGGAAAAGTCTGACCACTCCATGACCAGGTTGTACAGTAAGGCCAAGTCGGTGATGGGTGAGATGTTACCTCATGAGCTTTGGGTTGGCAGAAGTCTAGATCTCCCAGCCAACCCAGTGTTTTTTTCCTCCTTACCCCTTCTCAGCCGCTACTGGCGCAGGTGGAATAGATTCTGCAGAAGGAAGTGCCGTGCGGCAGTTAAGTCCAACATCTTCTACTGGCTTGTGATCTTCCTGGTGTTCCTCAACACGCTCACCATTGCCTCAGAGCACTACAACCAGCCCCACTGGCTCACAGAAGTCCAAGGTGAGAAGCCCCTGCCTTTGGACTATTCACTCTTGATAACTCAGTCCTGGTCCTGGGGAAGGATGAGTTATTGGTGGGAGATTGACAGGAAAGCAGCCAGTGACCACTGCTTGTCTGGTGCCATCCTGGAAAGCCCAAGGGCCTGGAAGCTTGCGAACCCCATGTTAAAATCCATGCCTTTGTTATGAACAGATGTGGCCCTTCAAACACTGATGTCCCTCCCACCGTTCCCCTACAGCCATAGTCATCATTGAGTCCAAGTAGCAGAACAGGAGCTGTAGCTTATCTGGCTGTTTCAGACCCCTGCTGCCAACTTCCCAGAAGCCATTTTCAGTTCTTCTGGTCTTTTCCCCAAATACAAGAAAATAGGCAAGAAGCAAACAGAGCTAAGACCCCCTTGTTGTGCCTGGACCCCTATGAACATATCCGCAACCCATGCCTAAACATCTCTGGGGAGTGAGGCAGATACGGCCCAGGCTGTGGGGATCCTGGGAGGAGATTATCTAGTGGTAACAAGGCACAGCGCACATAGCCTGCTCTCAACTTTGGCTGTTGACTTGTACGGGTCATTGACCCTTCTGCCCCTCCTGTCTCATCTCTAAAGACTGGGTTTAATGAGAACATCACCAAACCTCTCGAGTTTCTATGGGGAATAAGGAGGAGAGCATATGCTAAGCCCCTAATGCATGGTGGATGTTCAGCGCATGGTTATAATGATGGGAACTGGACTTAATTGTTCTCTAAGAAGTAGCTGGGAGAGGTCTCATTGGGTAGAGGTAGGGAGAGGGGGAGGAATGGAGGGAGGG